GTCTTTAAAAAAAAAAAAAAAAAAAAAAAAAGTGAGGTAGTGTTCTATGTGCCCATTTGGAAAAAATTACTTCATTAAGTAAAAATAAAAATTATATAACAATATGCATATGATCCCATTTTGGTCAAAATGCACATACTTTGTGTAATCACATCAAACTGCTAATTTTGCTAGAAAATAAAACTGAAAAGGATTTTAAGAGCTACAGAATCAAAGATTCCACAAGAAAGCTATGGGGGATCACTTATTACTATAACAACTTTACATATACATTGTAGGAAATATAGAAACACAAGAAAATAAATATCACTTATTTTATTATTATTAACCAAACCAACAACAACAACAAAAAAAAAACCAAACTCACTGCCATCGAGTTGATTCCAACTCATAGCAACCCCCACTAGGTTTCTATCTGGAAGTAGATTATTCCATCTTACTCCCACAAAGTGGCTGGTGGATTTGAACCACCAACCTTCTGGTTAGCAGTCAAATGTCTCAGGCATTACACCACCAAAGCTCCCTATGATTATTAATAGCAACCCTTATTAACATTTTGGTAGACAGTTTCCATTTTTAAGTTTCTTTTAAAATGTATCCTTTTGTTTGTCTATTTTTAAATTATATTATTAATTGCAATTTTAGAATCAGTATGTTCTAAATTCTCAGATACACTTACAGTTTTATCTCCAATAGAGGTAAGATTTGTTCCATTCTCCTTAGCCTTTAAACATTAAAAAATAAAATAAAATTAATTCAGAATTTTTACTTTTCTCAGAAATACGTAACAAGAAAAATAATTACCTCTTGTTTTTCTCCTAAAAGAGGTAGTCGATGTACAAAATCTCCAGAAAAGCTCTATAAAACAAACATGAAATTAAAGTTACTTTAAAAATTTGTAATATTTAGAAAGGAGTACTCAATGTTTAGGGAACATAAGACCTTAGATACATGCTTAAGATAGAGGGATCTTAGACAGTTTCCTTTCATTTTACAGAAAAGGAAAATTAGGCTTAAAGCTATAAAGTTTTGAAAACAGAAACAAAATTAGAACATAAGATTCCTAATTATATACGCACATCACAATCCATATCTGTAAGCAAAGTATACTAATTACCTTTCTAACCAGTTATCAGCAGATTAAGCAATCTCCTTCCTCAGTAATCAGAGTGCGTAATTCAATTGTTAGATTAGACTGGAGGAGAGAAAACCTTACCAACAGGGATATATGCCAGGACCCTGGAAAGATGATAGCAGATCTAAAAGTAGTGAACCTTGAGCAACAGAAAGCTTTCCATAATGAAATCTAAGAAAGGCCAACCAAATCTAGCCTGAGGGAGAAATCTGGAAAACCAACAGAAAACATACAAACTATTCAATCTCACACCATTCCTAGTTTTTCCTTCCTACTATTCCTGCATTATTTTTGAAGTTTTCTTTTCCCTCCAAATCCATAAAATCTAAGCTCTGAAAGCATTTGATCCTCAGAGTTCAATTATCAATTACTTCATCAAATTATTAATTATCAATTTTTAATTAGTTTCCTTAGTTTTTTTTAAAAAAGAAACAATTTTAATTCTAGTAACCAGACCTAGCTTTCAGTGAATTCCTTGCCTATTATAAGAAATTTGCTAAATATTCCTTTGCAATTTTTATATGCAGTAAGGACAAAGCAATGGGTATAGTTACAACAAATATTTTCAACCCTATAAAATGTTTCTATCAAAAAATAGTATCATGGCTATTACATAGTTTTACCAAACTAAAAAAAAAAATTTACTTGGTATTAGATCCTATTTCTAAGGAAACAGAATTTTGTATCAGAAATCCCACTTATATGACTACACTTACATGCTTATATCTGAGCATTAAAAATATACAATATTATTCATCTACTTACTTCCCTTTCCCCAAAACAAGGCCTGAAAATTAACCTAGTGATAATTTTCTACAAAAGTAGTGATACTCTTTGATTTTGGGTCTGTAGCAGTTAAACCTGAAAACTGATTTATCTGGAGACCTATCAATTAGATAACAAAAGAATTAAAAATCTGGGTTTGCTGTTAACACACAAGAAACCATATCCTCTCTTCTATGATGTGAATCAATATGTAAGTGGCTGCTTATACACACATTAGAACATGCTTCTAACTTCTGCCAGTGGGAAAGGAAGGGGAGAAGAGCAGATACAGCCAAAAACATAAGCATTACATTTTTTAACCCTCTACGTTCCTCTAACCTCTTTCAAGCACTACCTGTGTTTTAAAAAGTTCACTGCAGTTCTGGAACACTCTTGATGACGTTTGATATTTCCCAGATAACCCTCTTTTTTCCTTAAGGTTTTCCAAATATTTCTCAACTTTTTCTGCCTGAAAAAAATATAGGAAATACAAAGTGTATACCATTCACAAGCAAAAAAAAAATCATAAACAAGATTATTTAGACAATAACAAATAGAATCACCTTTAGTACAAAACATAGAGGCCCTAGGTGGCATAAACAGTTAAGCACTGGACTACTAGCCGAAAGACTGGCAATTCAAATCTACCCAGAAGTAACTTGGAAATCACGCACTGAGATCTGCTTCTAAAAGGTCATACTGTTGAAAACTCTATCTGCACACATGGAGTCACGAGTCCAAATTCAATAGCAGCTAACAACAACAGGGAGCTCTGGTAGCATAGTGGCTAAGGCACTTGACTGCTAACCAGAAGGCTGGAGGTTCAAACCCACCAGCCACTCTTCGGAAGGAAGGTTGGGCAATCCTACTTCCGTAGTGATCCTGCCTCGGAAACCCAAGGAGGGGTCGCTATGAGTTGGGGCCGACTCGACGGCAAATAACAACAACAACAGGAGTACAAAAATAATTTAGTCTTTCTAATTTTAAATAGAAGCTCTGGTGGCACAGTGCCTAGGGCATTTGACTGCTAACCAGAAGGCTGGTGGTTCAAACCCACCAGCTACTCCTCAGAAGGAAGACTGGGCTATCTACCTCCTTAGAGATACCGCCTCAGAAACCCAAGGAGGAGTCTCCATGAGTCGGAATTGACTTGATGGTAGTGAGTTTGTTTTAATTTTAAATATTAAAAGCATAAGATAAAGAATATATCTATTCATCTCTAAGATTTTAATGTAATTGGACTCTAACGTTTAGAATTCTAGCCTTTGGCTCACAAAGGGCAGTTCCACTAACAATTCAGGGCAGACTGGGAAATTGTCAAAACACAGAGGGTTTTGTCATTTTAAAATATAATTTATAAGAGTTACTTGACCAAATTAACAATATCAACAAAAAGATATGCTCAAAACGTAAAACAGCAAACACAGCTTTTTTTTTTTTTAAACAGTTGATACTCTCAAAAGGCATCCATTTCTATGATTTTAGTTCTATAATTTTTGTGTAATTTTGTAAATATCTACATCACTAATCTTGGACTCTTTCTTCTAATTCCTAATTTCACATCGCTGTGGAGTTATCATTCCCATACTTCTACACTGTGGCTATCTGCAATAATTTCTACATTTTTAGATTATACCACCAGATAGGAGGATCCACTAAGCTCTGGACCACTTTATCACTAATTTCAAATATAAAAAGCTTTCATTGTAAATTCAATTGTTTTTGTTGTTACGTGCTGACACAACAGAATGAAACACTATCCAGTCTCACAAACATTGCTATGTTTAAGCCCCTTTTTCAACCACTGTGTTAATCCATCTCTTTGAGGGTCTTCCTCTATTTCACTGACCCTTTAACTCCACCAAGGATGATGTCCTTCTCCAGGGACTAGTCCCTCCTGATATCATGCCCCAAATATGAGAGGCAAAGACTTGCCATCACCACTTCTAAGGAGCATTCTGGCTGTACTTCTTCCAAGACAGATTTGTTCATGGTACTCCGTAGTATATTCAATATTCTTCATCAACATCATAATTCAAAGGCATCAATTCTTCTTCAATCTTCTTTATTCACTGTCCAGTTTTTCATGCATATGAGGCAATTGAAAACACCAAGGCTTGAATTAGGCCTCAAAGTGACAGCTTTACTTTTCAACACTTTAAAGAGGTCTTTTCCAGGAGATCTGCCCGATGCGATAATTGTTTTGATTTCTTGACTGCTGCTTCCATGGGCACTGACTGTGGACCCAAGTAAAATTAAATCCTTGACAACTTTAATATCATCTCCGTTCATCATGATGTTGCTCACTGGTGTAGTTGTGAGGATTTTTGTTTTCTTTCTCTTGATGACGTTTAGCTGTAATCCACACTGAAGCCTACAGTCTTTGACCTTCATTAGTAAGTGATTCAAGTTTTCCTTCCTTTCAGCAAGGAAGACTGTCATCTCCAAATCACAAGCTCTTAATGAGTCTTTCTCCAATCATGATGCCACATTCTTCTCTACACAGTCCAGCTTCTTGCATTATTTGTTCAGCATAAAGACTGAATAAGTATGATGGAAAAATACAACCCTGACACACAGCTTTCCTGATTTTAAACCATGCGGTATCCCCTTGTTCTGTTCAAATAACTGCTTCTTGGACTATGTACAGGTTCTACATGAACATGATTAAGTGTTCCAGAATTCTCATTCTTCATAATGTTATCTATAATATGCTATGATCCACACAATCAAATACCTTTGCATAGTCAATAAAACACAGGTAAATATCTTTTGGTATTCTCTGTTTTCAGCCAAGATCCATCTGATACCAGCAAAGATATCACTCATTCCACATCCTCATCAGAATTCGGCTTGAATTTCTGGCAGTTTCCTATTCATGTACTGCTGTAACCATTTTTTAATTATTTTCAGTATAATTTTACGTATGTAATGTTAATTATATTGTTTGATAATACCTGCATTCTGTTGGATCACGTTTCTTTGGAACAGGCACGTTATCTAGGTCTCTTCCAATCAGTTGGCTAGATAGCTATTTTCCAAATTTCTTGGAAACACTTCCAGTATTGTATCCCATTGACTGAAACATGTCAATTAGTATTCATCAATTCCTGGAGCCTTGTTTTTCACCAATGCTTTCAGTGCAACTCAGAGTTCCTTCAGTACCACTGGTTCTTGATCATATGCTACCTCCTGAAATGGTTGAACATCAACCAATCCTTTTTTTTCGTACAATGACTCTGTGTATTCCTTCCATCTTCTTTTTACGCTTCCTGTGTCATTCAATATTTTGCCCATAGACTCCTTCAATGTCGCAACTCAAGGCTTGAATTTTTTCTTCAGTTCTTTCAACTTGGGAAATGCTGAGTGTATTCCTCCCTGTCAGTGTTCTAATGCCAGGTCTCTGCAAATTTATAATACATTACTTTGTCTTCTTGAGCCATCCTGTAAAATCTTTTGTTCAGATCTTTTACTTGATCGTTTCCTCCATTAGCTTTAGCTGCTCTCCTTTTAGGAGCAAGTTTTAGAGACTCTTCAAATATCCATTTTGGTCTTCTCTTCCTTTCCTGTCTTTTTGATCAACTTTTGCCTTCTTCATGTATGACTTCCTTGATATCCTCCCACAACTCACCTCATCTTCAGTATTAGTGTTCAATCTCTTCTTGAGATGGTCTCTAAATTCAAGTGAGATATACTCAATGTAGCACTCTGGCTCTGGTGGACTTATTTTAATTTTCTTCAGCTTCAACTTAAACTTGAATTTGAGCAATTGATAGTCTGATCCATAGCTGGCCTCTGGCCTTATTCTGACTGATGATAGTGAGCTTCTCCATCATCTCTTGCCACAGATGTAGTCAATGCGATTCGTGTGTATTTCATCCAGTATCTATGGGTATAGTTACTGTTTATCTTGTTGAAAAAAGGTAATTCCAACTAGTAAATCATCGATGGCAAAATGCTATCATGCCTTGGTGATAGAAATATGTAGGATATTGCATGTTCTAACTACTGATGTTTCTTCTTTGTTTCCAACTTTCACATTCCAATCACCTATAATTATCAATGCATCTTTTTTTTTTTTTAAAGCTTGTTTTACATTCAACATAACGCATACATTTAGTTTCATTCCCCTAACCCAGTCCATGTCCAACCCTAACCCAGTCTCCTCCCCTTCCTACTCTGTGACCCTCCACCTGTGCTCCTCATATTTATGCACTCCTATTGGTCCTGCATTTCCTCAGTTTGAATGTTGGTCCTCTGGTGTCCCATGGTTCATTGCTCTAAGGGCTGTATTGCCATAGAGTATGTGGGTGTGTCATCCTGAGTTGAGTGGTCTGTGTGTACATCTTGTTAACTATTGGGCTGAGAGCCCATCCCCGGGGGTGAGTTTTATTCCAGGCTCAGAATGTATTCCAGGGACATAGTATTGAGAGTCTCACCAGATTTCATCTGACCAGTGATTCTGATCATTACTGAGTTTGTGGAATTTTATTCCAAGTTTTCCCTCCCACTCTATCCAGGATCTCCAGATTTGACCTTTTCCTGAGTGGTTGGCACTGGTAGCCATGCACCAACTAGTTCTTCTGGTCTCGAGGTCCATCGTGTCCTAGGGCTGGTTGCTTCTAAATGCCCCCCCCCCCTTTTCATTCTTCTTCACTTCTGATGCTAGGAGACAGTTAGCTGCATCTTAGATGGCCGTTTGAAAGCTTTTAAGACCCCAGTCACTACTCACGAATGTAGGACGTGGAGCAACTGCTTTTATGAATTTTATTGTGCCAACTGAGTCTGATGTCTCCCAGTACTATGGTCCTGAGGCAGTAGATCTATTGGATCTCTCTCCCATAGTATCTGATTGTCTATGAGGGATTACTCTATGTCTGTTTTCTATTGTTCCTGTAAGAACTGCAGGTATTTTGTATCACTGGTGTCTATGCAAGATTAGCCTCAGCTGAATCTATCCTTGGTTTAAAGTAACTTCTGTTCACTGACCCCATCTGATCATCTCAGCGTTTATGTGTTTATCTGTATAGTCTAGCATTTGGTGTTATCAATGCATCTTGACTGCATGTCTGATCAATTGCAGACTGTAGAAGTTGGTAAAAAACCTCCAGTTTCATCATCTTTGACATTAATGGTTGATATATAAATTTGAATAATAGTCATATTAACTGGTCTTCCTTCTAGGTATATGTATATTATCCTATCATGGACAGTGGTAGTGAAGGTTGTGTGTCAACTTGGCTGGGCCTGGTTGAGTAGCTGGGCAGCTGGTGGTTGTTATTTCCCAAAATGAGACTGGCAAGCAACTCCATGGTGGGATCTACCACAAGCAGCTGAGTAGCAGCTTTAGGGATATAGTCTGCTTCCCACACATCTCTAGCTTATGGCATGCTTGAACCCTGCATGTAGCTGTGTTATTGGTTCAGCAGCCTGTCATGCTCTGCTGATCTTGGGACTTGAATTAATGGTCTACTATGTGGTTTGGTAATATTGGGACTATGTCTTATTACTTGTTTACCTTGGGTTTGTCAGCCTCAGCAGCCAGCAGCTGTCTGAGTGACGAAAATCCTCCAGCTTCAGGGGCTGGGAGCAGGAGGCAAAGCTGAAGCCAAGGTTGAGGGACTTTCACCCAGCCCCTAAAGCCTGGCACTTTGAACTCAGACTTAAAGCCTCCAAATTGTAAGACACTAAACTCCTGTTTGTTCAAGCATCCCATTTTTGGTATCTTCTGATAGAGCAGCACTAGGTAACCGAAATAGTATATTATTCTATCACTAACAGTGTTGTATTTCAGGATAGATACTGAAACATTCTTTTTGATGATGAATGCAACACCATTCCTCCTCAATTTGTCATTCCCAGCATAGAAGACAATATGATTGTTCAATTTAAAATGGCCAATGCCAGTCCATTTCTACTCATTTAATGGCTAGGCTATTGATCTTCAAGTATTCCATTTCATTTTTTCCAATTTTCCTAGATTCATACTTGGTAGGTACATTCTATGTTGTGACTAAAAATGGATGTTGCAGCTACTTCCTCTCATTTTGAGTCATGCCACATCATCAGCAAACAAAAGTACCATCCATGTCATAAAGGTCAACTCTACTTTGAAGACAGAGCTCTTCCCCAGTCGTAATTTGAGTGTCTTCCAAACTGAAGGACTTCTGCTGCTATGCATAATGTTTTCACTGCCTAATTTTTTTCAGAAGATTACCAGGTCCTTCTTCCTAGTCTATTTTAATCTGGAAGCTCTGCTGAAACCTATCCACCATGGGTGGCCTGCTGGTATTTGAAGTAATGGTGGCACAGCTTCCAACATCACAGCAACACATTAAGCCACCACAGTATGACAAACTGATAGACAAGCAATCAATCAATAGAAAGAGATCAAAGATATTTCAAACCATATTCTGGAGATGTTATCATTTCCCTCTAAATTCTTCAGTCATTCCTTTCATATCAATCCTATCTAATATTATAATAATAAATATAAAATGCATTCCCTCATACCACAGAAAGATACTATAAAACCTTAATACTAGGCACAGCTTTAAAATGCTGAGGCTTTGAAAAACTAAAATGGCTGATGGTGAGCAATTTTTAAAGATCTGTCAAATTACCTTTGGAAAGACACCTCAAGGATAAGAAAGGAATATTTTAAAAAAGAAAACAAATGATGCAAAAAGAGGGGACTGGAAACAGAATGGAAAAGGCCTGAAACATCCTTACTGGAGTGATAAATTTTCAATGCTGAAGTGTAATGTAGTATGACAATTCTCAAAGTGTGGTCCATAGACACCTGGGGGTCCCCGAGACCCTTTTTTTTTTTTTTTTTAATTGTGATTTGGGTGAAAATTTATAGAGCAAATTCACATTCCATACAGCAGTTCACATACACTTTGTCTCATGACAATGACTACAACTTACCACAATGCAACAGCTCCCCTCCCACTTCCTCCTGATTATTACCTCTTCCCTGTGTCCATCCCTCCATGCACTCCTGTCCCCTCAGCTGTCTCCCTGTGCACAAACAGCCCTTCTTTCTCCCATGATTGTTCTCTCCAAGGAGAGGTAAATATTCAACTCATATGCCTGTCTTTCATTTGGCTGGAAGCCACAGGTGTGGGTTCAATTCCAGACCTGAAGGGCACATAGGGGCCATAGTGAAACCCTTTCTTGAGGTCCAAGAGGTTAAATGTTATTTGTCTTGCACTGATGGTACAAAAGCAATGGTGGGTAAAACTGTTGCCCCTTATCAGGCACCAAGACTATGGCCCCAAGATATAGTCACTGTATTCTTCATAGTCCCAAACTCGAAATTAAAAAAAAGAAGAAAAATGCCAGTTTCACTTAAAAACATCCTTGATGAAGCAGTCAAAATTATTTATGATAATATTTGGATATGCAATTTCTCAGTTTTAATTTCTAATTCAGTAACCACATAAACAAAAGTTCTTTGGAGACCTCAATTTACAAGAGTTTTTTTAAGGGTTTTGATACCAAATCAGTTTGAGAACTGCTGATACAGGAAGTCAGCAAATTGGAAGGAATGGATTCAAATTCCAGCTCTGCTCCTCCAGAGCTACATGGCACTTTTTTCTCTGTAAAACAATTTCTAAGGTCCAAGGAAAGTCTGTAATTCTATGATCATTACCTTAAAGTTGAAGATTTCATTGTAACAGTCAGCACTTTTCAGATACCAGGTAACATTCAAAGACAGATCACAAGGTTCTCCATCAACTATAAAAGAAGATATGTTTGTAAATAAACAACTCACCAACAAAACACTTTTCCTAAACTGTTACTCCTTTCCCCACTTATTTCCTAATCCAAACTGAGACACTCAAAGTTCAATCCTTCCTCAAACATAAGATAATGATGTAAAATAACTGAAAAGAACTAAGTATTGTTTAGATAAAACTTCTGGTGTTCATAAAAAGTAATATAAGTTAAGCAGTTTTTAAGCTTAACTGAGCTATTTTTATACCTTAAAATCTCAATTTCTGGTTCTCTATTGGAAAAAATTTGGAAGTAACAAAGTACAGGCATGTGAGTTAAACATTTACCTCAAGTAGACACACGCCCTGGAGAGAACAATCATGGGAGAAGGAAGGGCTGCTTATGCACAGGGAGATAGCTCAGGGTGTAGAAGAGTATGAAGGGATGGACACTGGGAGGAGGTAACTATGGGGAGGAAGTGGGAGGGGAGCTGCTGCATTGCAAATATTGGTGAATGAAATGAGACAAAGTATATGTGAACTGCTGTATGAAAAGTGAATTTACTCTGTAAATCTTCACCCAAATCCTAATAAAAAAAAAAAAAAAATTTGGAAGTAATAAAGCTGCCCTAAGTTAAAGCACATCTTACCATTTTGAGATACTTATTGAACAGAGCACATAAGTGAACACTAATGCATGGAACTATGTTATGCCTAAGATGTAATGGGCTGAACGAATCACTAAAGACCCTTTAAAAAGCGACATTCTAGTTGAAGAGGCAAGGAGTAACATTGTTAGGAATATCACAAGTCAATACTCATATGACTATCAAATAGTGCATAAATAATATTTCTACAGAGGGAAAAATTCATGGCTTGGACCTTGAAAGATACTAAGATTGGATAAGAAGAACAATGAACAGAAAGCAAACCTTGTTGGGAAAGGTAGAAATAGGTACAGCAAAAACAAAGAATATTAGATTTTTAAAAGCCAACCTTAAGAAAAGTCTCAGAGGCGAGGCAAGATGGCGGACTAGGCAAAAGGATTGCACAGACCCTCTTCAACAAAGAAAAGGGAAACCAATTAACACAGACACAGAAGATAATCT